AGGCTAGGAAACACTGTCACCACCGATAAATCTACAATAATCGAGAATTTCAACAAGCATTTTGCTACGGCTGGCCATGCTTTCCACTTTGCTACCATTACCCCGGCCACCAGCTCTGCACCCTCCGCTACAACTTGCCCATGCCCCCCCGCTTCTCCTTCACACAAATTCAGACAACTGATGTTCTGAAAGAGCTGAAAAATCTGGACCCCTACAAATCAGCTGGGCTAAACAATCTGGACCCTTTCTTTCTATTACTAGCCTGTTCAACCTCTCTTTCAAAACGTCTGAGATCCCCAGAGATTGGAAAGCTGCCACGTTCATCCCCCTCTTCAAAGGGGGTGACACTCTGGATCCATACTGTTACAGACCTATATCCACCCTGCCCTGACTTTCGAAAGTATTTGAAAGCCAAGTTAAAAAACAGATCACCGACCATTTCGAATCACACCGTTAAAAGGTGAATTCGATAGTATTCACCCCTCTTGGCATTTTTCCTATTTTGTTGCCTAACAACCTGGAATTAAAATTGAGTTTTTGGGGGTTTGTATCATTTGATTTAAACAACATGCCTACCACTTTGAAGATGCAAAATAATTTTTTATTGTGAAACAAACAAGAAATAAGACAAAAAAACAGAAAACTGGAGCGTTTATAACTATTCACCCCCCAAGGTCAATACTTTGTAGAGGCACCTTTTGCAGCAATTACATCTGCAAGTCTTATGGGGTATGTCTCTGTAAGCTTGGCACATCTAGCCACTGTTCTCGAGGTGATGAGAGGTGTTGGGTTTGCGCCAGACATAGCGTTTTCCTTGATGGCCAAAAAGTTAAATTTTTGTCTCATCTGACCAGAGTACCTTCTTCCATATGTTTGGGGAATCTCCCACATGACTTATGGCGAACACCAAACATGTTTGCTTATTTTTTTCTTTAAGCAATGGCTTTTTTCTGGCCACTCTTCCATAAAGCCCAGCTCTGTGGAGAATACGTCTTAAAGTGGTCCTATGGACAGATACTCCAATCTCCACTGGGGAGCTTTGCAGCTCCTTCAGGGTTATCTTTGGTCTCTTTGTTGCCTCTCTGATTAATGCCCTCCTTGCCTGCTCTGTGACTTTTGGTGGGCGGCCCTCTCTTGGAAGATTTGTTGTGGTGCCATATTCTTTCCATCTTTCAATAATGGATTTAATGGTGCTCCGTGGGATGTTCAAAGTTTCAGATATTTTTTTATAACCCAACCCTGATCTGTACTTCTCCACAACTTTGTCCCTGACCTGTTTGGAGAGCTCCTTGGTCTTCATGGTGCCACTTGCTTAGTGGTGTTGCAGACTCTGGGGCCTTTCAGAACAGGTGTATACATACTGAGATCTGGATTACTGCAACTCGCTGTTGGCTGGGCTCCCTGCCTGTGCCATTAAACTCCTACAACTCATCCAGAATGCCGCAGCCCGTCTGGTGTTCAACCTTCCCAAGTTCTCTCACGTCACCCCGCTCCTCCGCACACTCCACTGGCTTCCAGTTGAAGCTCGCATCTGCTACAAGACCATGGTGCTTGCCTACGGAGCTGTGAGGGGAACGGCACCTCCGTACCTTCAGGCTCTGATCAGTCCCTACACCCAAACGAGGTCACTGCGTTCATCCACCTCTGGCCTGCTGGCTCCCCTACCTCTGCGGAAGCATAGTTCCCGCTCAGCCCAGTCAAAACTGTTCGCTGCTCTGGCACCCCAATGGTGGAACAAGCTCCCTCACGACGCCAGGACAGCGGAGTCACTCACCACCTTCCGGAGACATTTGAAACCCCACCTCTTTAAGGAATACCTGGGATAGGATACAGTAATCCTTCTACCCCCCCCCCCCCCCCCTTTACTCCAACTTCTGAAGACAATTGGTTGCACCAGATCTTATTTAGGGGCTTCATAGCAAAGGGGGTGAATACATATGCACACACCACTTTTCCGTTATTGATATATATATATATTTTTGTACGTTATTTTTTTCATTTCACTTCACCAGGTTGTAATGCAACAAAATAGGAAAAACGCCAAGAGGGATGAATACTTTTGCAAGACACTGTATTTGGTACTGACCTTCTCAGGGATGGAGTAGGCCACAGTGATGTCCTCTGGGAGGTCAGGGACAGGGCCTAAGGCTGCCTTGAGCTCCTCATCAGTCACCTCCGACACCAGCTCAAAACCTGACAGAGCAACAACATACAGTGCATTCGGAAAGTATTCAGACACCTTGAATTGTTCCACTTTGGTTACGTTACAGCCTTATTCTAAAATTGATTAAATTACTTTTTTTCCCTCATCAATCTACCTACAATACCCCATAATGACAAAGCGAAAACAGGTTTTTAGAAATGTTAGAAAATGCATAATATTCTAAACAGAAATAACTTATTTATATAAATATTCAGACCCTTTGCCATGAGACTCGAAATTGAGCTCAGGTTTATCCTGTTTGCATTGATCATCCTTGAGATGTTTCTACAACTTGATTGGAGTCCACCTGTGGTAAATTCAATTGATTGGACATGATTTGGAGAGGCACAAGCCTGTCTATATAAAGTCCCACAGTTTACAGTGTATGTCCAAGCCATGAGGTCGAAGGAATTGTCCGTAGAGCTCCGAGACAGGATTGTGTTGAGGTACAGATCTGGGGAAGGGTAGCAAAAAATGTCTGCAGCATTGAAGGTCCCCAAGAACAGAGTGGCCTCCATCATTCTTAAATGTAAGAAATTTGGAACCACCAAGACTCTTCCTAGAGCTGGCCACCCGGCCAATCTGAGCAATCAGGGGAGAAGGGCCTGACATAGCTCCAGAGTTCCTTTGTGGAGATGGGAGAACCTTCCAGAAGGACAACCATCTCTGCAGCACTCCAACTATCAGGCCTTTATGGTAGAGTGACCAGATGGAAGCCACTCTTCAGTAAAAGGGACATGACAGTCCGCTTGAAGTTTGCCAAAAGGCACCTAAAGAACTCTCAGACCATGAGAAACAAGATTCTCTGATCTAATGAAACCAAGACTTTACTCTTTGGCATGAATGCCAAGTGTCACGTCTGGAAGAAACCTGGCGCCATCCCTACGGTGAAGCATGGTGGTGGCAGCATCATGCTGTGTGTATTTTTTTCAGCGGTAGGGACTGGGAGACTAGTCAGGATTGAAAGAAAGATGAACGGTGCAAAGTACAGAGAGATCCTTGATGAAAACCTGCTCCAGAGCACTCTGTACCTCAGACTGGGAAGAAGGTTCACCTTCCAACAGGACAACAACCCTAACACACAGCCAAGACAACGCAAGAGTGGCTTCGGAACAAGTCTCTGAATGTCCTTGAGTGGCCCAGCCAGAGCCCGGACTTGAACCCGATCGAACATCTCTGGAGAGACCTGAAAATAGCTGTGCAGCGACGCTCCCCACTCAACCTGACAGAGCTTGAGAGGATCTGCAGAGAAGAATGGGAGATACGTGGAATAAGTCAAGGGGTCTGAATAGTATAGACCCCTTGACTTTTTCCACATTTTGTGATATGTTGCACACTTGCTGCACACTTTTACTATTTTCAGGTCTCTCCAGAGATGTTTGATTGGGTTCAAATCCAGGCTCTGGCTGGGCCACTCAAGGACATTCTGAGACTTGTCCCGAAGCCAGTCCTGCATTGTCTTGGCTCTGTGCTTAGGGTCGTTGTCCTGTTGGAAGGTGAACCCTCTACCCAGTCTGAGGTCCTGAGCAGGTTTTCATCAAGGATCTCTCTGTACTTTGCTCCGTTCATCTTTGCCTCGATCCTGATTAGTCTCCCAGTCATTGCCGCTGAAAAATATCCCCACAGCATGATGCTGCCACCACCATGCTTTAACGTAGGGATGGTGCCAGGTTTCCTCCAGACGTGACACTTGGCATTCAGCCCAAAGAGTTCAATCTTGGGTTCATCAGACCAGAGAATCTTGTTTCTCATGGTCTGAGTGTCTTTAGTTTTTAGTCTTTAGTTTTTGGAAAACTCCAAGCGGGCTGTCATGTGGCTTTTACTGAGGAGTGGCTTCCGTCTGGCCACTGTACCATAAAGGCCTGGTTGGTGGAGTCCTGTAGAGATGGTTGTCCTTCTGGAAGGTTCTCCCATCTCCACAGAGGAACTCTGAATTTCTGTCAGAGTGACCATCGGGTTCTTGGTCACCTCCCTGACCAAGGCCCTTCTCCCCCGATTGCTCAGTTTGGCCGGGTGGTCAGCTCTAGGAAGAGTCTTGGTGTTTCCAAACTTCTTCCACTTAAGAATGATGGAGGCCACTCTGTTCTTGGGGACCTTCAATGCTGCAGACATTTTTTGCTACCCTTCCCCAGATCTGTGCCTCGACACAATCCTGTCTCAGAGCTCTACGGACAATTCCTTCGACCTCATGGCTTGGTTTTTGCTCTGACATGCACTGTCAACTGTGGGACCTCATATATAGACAGGTGTGGGCCTTTCCAAATCATGTCCAATCATTTTTTTTTTACCACAGGTGGACTCCAATCAAGTTGTAGAAACATTTCAAGGAAGATCAATGGAAACAGAATACACCCGAGCTCAATTTCGAGTCTCATAGCAAAGGGTCTGAATACTTATGAAAATAAGGTATTTCTGTTTTTGTTTTTAATAGATGTGCAAAAATGTAAAGAAAAACAACAGTTTTAGCTTTTTAATTATGGGGTATTGTGTGTAGATTGCTGAGGATTTTTTATTTATTAAATCCATTTTAGAATAAGGCTGTAACATAACAAAATGTGGAAAAAGTCAAGGGGTCTGAATACTTTCCTCTAATCCAGTGATAGATTAGAGGTGTAATTCCTATTGTCTCAGTATTTATCTTGTTGATCGTTGAAGAACTGTGCAACTTCACTGTTATTAGTACTCAAATATACAGTAACTCATTGTTTTCAGGTACTTTTAGCCTTCCCTGTATATAAGTAAACTACAAATCCCAGGTATTATGACACAATTTGTCCCCCTTTTCCTGTTGTTAGGAGATGGATTTGATGCGGACACAGCAGTGTGGTGCTGTGAATGTGGAGATGGACTATTCTTCCTCAGTGGACATGAGCAAGGTGCTGGAGGAGATGAGTACCAGATCCTCCTGGACATCAAGATTAGGCTGGAGATGGAGATCGCTGAGTACAGGAGGCTGTTGGATGGAGAGGGACTCAGGTGAGAGGGGTTAATGGAGGGGCAGGAAAGAGAGGGAGGGGGATTGGGATGGGGGGATAGCGAGTTGGGGGAATGGAAAGAGCGGAGAGTGTAGAGGGAGGATGGAGATTGAGCAAGTTGTAGTAATTGGGGGTTGGCGAAGAGAGGAGGGAGGAGGGAATGCAGGATGAGAGTGGAGGGAGGGTAGAGAAAGGGAGAAAGGAAAGACAGAAGTAGAGAGAGGGAGCGGTTAGTGGAAGAGAGAGGGGGGACAGAGACCATAAATATATACTGGTGTTAGAAAAATACACAGTTGGTTGGCATGGTGTACTACAGTACCCACAATGCTCTGTGTAAACTGTCCCGTCTCCTTCTCAATACAGGTACAGTGCAGTGGGTTCAGTGAATGACATCTGTTTATTAGCACCTCATTGCAAACTAGAAGATCAAGATGTGTGTTGGTGAGTTTAGCTGTCCGTAAGCTGTCCCTGTGTATCTACCAGTAGGCATGTGGAGACCCGACAGGAGGTCAGGAAAGTGATCATGGTTGAGAAGGTCCAGGAAGTACAACACGTCCAGGAAGTGGTGGAAGGTGAGCAAGCAGGAGAATAATTAATCAAATGAATGAATCAGTGAAATAATCAAGTGTTGTTACCCATCATACGCACAATTAATTAATTAATTAATTCCTGTTTTGTGGCTCTTTCCACAGAGTACAACCCACACATGCAGAAGCGTGTGAGGGTGATCGTGGAGGAGATGGTGGATGGGAAGGTGGTGTCCACCTCAGTTGATGAGAAGGTCCAGGATATAAACTGAGAAGGCCAAATAGTTCCGGAATCTGGTGAAGCGGTAACAGACCACACGTACCCCTGGACCACACATACCCCTGGACCACACATACCCCTGATGACGGGGGTTCAAGCCCCATATATATATATGTTCATGGTTGCATATTGTAATATTTCCCTTCTGACAGGATTGCATCAGCTGAATGATAACTGATGTAATTTACTAATGTTACCTTATAACTCTTATATGGCTCTATCATATAGCAAATTGAATATTATTTATAGAATGTGTTTTTCCCGTTCTTCCATTCTTTGCCAACAGGTGGCATGTCTCTCATTTAAACATATTTGGTCATCCCAATTAAAAAGTGAAATGGATCTAATTTGAGTAAAGTGGAAACAGATTATTTCAGTTACATAAATGACATCAGGGAAAATATTACTTGCGTCATCAGCCATTATAAAGCTATTTTAGCTCCATTGTATACTCCCAGGACCACAAGTCATGTATATTCTCTATACTCTATGACAGGTTTAAAGTTCATGTTCTGTAGGTTTACGACACTGTAAGCCTACGACACATGATACATGTGGCTGTTGATAAAATCTAGACGTCAATGCATTTCAGCACACTGATATCATAATTGATGGTCCGTTGCTGTCCTCTACAAAGCTGGGGAAAAAACACCTTTGCAGAGTGGATGAGGCCAACACATACTGTACCCTATATTATATGAGCATAACCCTCATGGGAGTTTCACTTACTCAAACATGTTCTCAGAGCAGAAAGCATCAGGCAACCAATGAAAATGGAAGGAGGCGGGAATACCAAACAGAGCAGGCTAGTAGACATGTCATGTTCATTTTTTTAAATGTTGAGAAAAAAGTGAGGGAAGAAGAGGAAGAACAAAATTCTGCAGGAGTGAGCAGCAAATAAGCAAAACAAAGTAGGTTGAATATAGCTAGAGCAAGTTCTTCATTTTGCGCATTAATTTCCTGTTTCCAGTTAGTCTAAATATATAATTATATAAAGTGCTGTGAAAAAGTATTTGCCCCCTTTCTAATTTTCTCTACTTTTGCATAATTTTGATACTGAATGTTATCAGATCTTCAACCAAAACCTAATATTAGATAAAGGGAACCTGAGTGAAAAAATAACCAAACAATTATATACTTATTTCGTTTATTTAATAAACAAAGTTGTGCAACACCCAATGCCCCTGTGTGAAAAAGTGATTGCCCCCTTACACTCAACTGGTTGTGCCACCTTTAGCTGCAATGACTCCAACCAAACACTTCCTGGAGTTGTTGATCAGACGCTCACGTCACTTTGGAGGAATTTTGGCCCACTCTTCCATGCAGAACTGCTTTAACTCAGCGACATTTGTGAGTTTTCAAGCATGAACTGCTCGTTTCAAGTCCTGCCACAACATCTCAATTGGGATTAGGTCTGGACTTCGACTAGGCCATTCCAAAACATCAAATGTGTTGCTTTTTAGCCATTGTCATGTAGACTTGATTGTGCGCTTCAGCTTCAGCTCACAGACGGATGGCCTGACATTCTCCTGTAGAATTCTCTGATACAGAGCAGAATTCATGGTTCCTTCTATTAAGGCAAGTCGTCCAGGTCCTGAGGTAGCAAAGCATCCCTAAACCATCACAATACCACCACCATGCTTGACCGTTGGTACAGTATAAGGTTCTTACTGTGGAATGCAGTGTTTGTTTTCGGCAGGCAAAATGGGACCCATGTCGTCCAAAAAGTTATACTTTTGACTCATCTGTCCATAGAACATTCTTCCAATAGTCTTGATGATCATCCATGTGCTTCCAGGTGCTTTTTGGCAAATTTGAGTCAACTTCTTGGACGAGATGGGTCCCATTATGTCTGGTGAAAACCAAACACTGCATTCCACAGTAAGAACCTCATACCATAGTGTGATGGTTTGGGGATGCTTTGTTGCGTCAGGACTTGAGCCGTTTCCCCTAGTCGCAACAAAAAGGAATGTAACGTTGCAGATAAAGTTCTGAATGACACAATTTCATGTTTACAACATCTAAAGACCTGCATCAATATACTGAGAGCTTTGCCGTTTCTAAAAGGAAGTATTTGGGTGATTTTGGAGCCTTTGTTCATGTGTATCCTCAGCCCCCATACTGCAGAACGAGCAATGAGGAAGTCTGTCGCGGGTGGGGTAAGTTTCTCAAAACCAAGTGAAATCACAAAAAAGTGTCTGGACCCTTCTATAACATGCTATTTATATGTAAAATAGAGATTTGGTTCAGAGTAAGTGAACCCCTCCTTTTAACATTGCTATTGATTTTACACACAAACAGAACAGACCCAACAAACACCGTGAACACCACATAAGATAAATTAAAAACTAAAATTAAAAAGACAATGGAATAAATACTTTGGTTAAGTCCTCGTCTAAAGAGAGTACACATTAAAATTGCTTTTAGTCCACTCCAGATGTAGGCTTAATCTGAGTCTGTGTAACCGTCCCATGTCTGGTAACTTTATGTGCATTGTCATTTGACAGTTAGCCTAGAGATCTTGAATTCTTGTTCCTCACCTACCACAAATTCTATTAGCTTGTAGCTTGTGTGTAATCCTGATTTGTGAAGCTGACAGAGAAGATGTGTGTGTTGTCCAGGGGAAGCTGGATAAGTCTGTTCCTAAGCATGAGCTGGCTCTGGACATCAGGGAGAATAGTTTTGGACCCAAACACCCCAGTATGGCCACAGCATTGGTCAACCTGGCTGTACTCTGCTGCCAACTGGTGAGAGGACCAACACTGCTAACAGTTCACTGCATACCAGACCAGGGTTAAAATACTTGAAAAATCCTTTCAAATACTTGAGCGTTTGCTTGAGTTTGCCTGGAGCGCCAGATGTGTGGGGTTTGCAGTTTTGGGACTTTTGGTTTGGTTTATTAAGCCAGGCAAGCTCAAACAGGCACAGATAAAGTGTTTGAAATGATTTTTCACATTAAACCCATGTCTGCTGCATCCATATTAGGGAAAGATGGGAAGTGCTGGAAAGCATACAGCATGTGTATGGTTTGATTTGACTTCCCAGCTTAATTGGACTTCAAATGGAAATTCAGATTGTTTCTCCCAGATTCTGTCTGGACATTGGTCTGACTGTGTGTTATTTTGTGACAGAAGAAGCATAGTGAGGCGCTACCCCTGCATGAAAAGGCTCTGAGAGTGTAAGAGGACAGTCTGTGATGCTCACACCCACGGGTCGGAGAGACAGAACTAGCTGTACTCAGGTGAGTACACACACACACACTCCATTTGATTGTTAATATACATACAGTACTATAAGCTGAACGACTAGTTTTATCATCATTGTCATCAACCCCATATCTCTTTATGAACCTGGTTCTCTCTTCTCTCCATCTTCTTCTCCTTCCTCCTCCCTCTCTTTCCCCCAGCTATGTGAAGGGGGTCTTTGAGAAAGCAGCAGAGCTCTTCAAGCAATCCATGGAGATCAAAGAGGCACTCTGGTTTGTGGAAGGCCCCTTGTCGACACTCGTCCAGTGGGGACATGTTTAGTCTGCGAGGGCCCATCCCTCTCCCACATGCCCCCAGGTGACCCCTCCCTGTACCTCCCCTCCGAAGAACACAGGTGGTGGATCTCATTTAGCCTTTCCTTGATCCTGTGTGTCCATTTCCTCGTCTCCTTCTAGAAATGCATTGGTGGAGAAGGTCCGAGGGTAGGGACCTTGGATCTTCTCCTCGAATGCATTTTGAGGAGGGGGAAAGGAGAAAGGACATGAAGAATCAAGGAAGTACAATTGAGGGCCATCCAGGGTTCACAATCTGCATTCCTGAGAAGAACAACGTCCATTGCACTCTCAATAGTTTGTTATGTTGCTTTGGAATGGAGCAGTGTAGTGGTGTCGCCTGTCAAGTGTACTGTAGCTAACTTTATGTAAATATGAAGTATGCTTTATTTAATGTCTGGTCAATGGCTGTATTTATTTTTATTTTTTTAAACATATTTTTATATATACATATTATTAATGTAATCATGAAATGATGTCAACACCAGGTTATGAAGATGTTTTATTCCATATTCAAAAGTTTCCCAATTACCACTGCTCTCTGTTACTATCTATGGAAGCATATATCTGTCAAAATTCAATTTCATTTATATAATGATAAAGATAAATCAATATAACCTATATCCCCATCGGCTGCAAGTTGCTCTGGCTAAGAGTGTCTGCTAAATTAGCTTAATATTGCAGATAGATTGTAACTTCCATCAATGTAATTGTCTGCATCACTTCCAATCCCCCATGTTTTATATATATATATACAGTTTCTCACAAAAGTGAGTACACCCCTCACATTTTTGTAAATATTTGAGTATATCTTTTCATGTGACAACACTGAAGAAATGACACTTTGCTACAATGTAAAGTAGTGAGTGTACAGCTTGTATAACAGTGTAAATTTGCTGTCCCCTCAAAATAACTCAACACACAGCCATTAATGTCTAAACCGCTGGCAACAAAAGTGAGTACACCCCTAAGTGAAAATGTGTCATTAGTGTTACAAGGTCTCAGGTGTGAATGGGGAGCAGGTATGTTAAATTTGGTGTCATCGCTCTCACACTCCCTCATACTGGTCACTGGAAGGTCAACATGGCACCTCACGGCAAAGAACTCTGAGGATCTGAAAAAAAGAATTGTTGCTCTACATAAAGATGGCCTGGGCTATAAGAAGATTGCCAAGACCCTGAAACTGAGCTGCAGCACGGTGGCCAAGACCATACAACGGTTTAACAGGACAGGTTCCACTCAGAACAGGCCTCGCCATGGTTGACCAAAGAAGTTGAGTGCACGTGCTCAGTGTCATATCCAGAGGTTGTCTTTGGGAAATAGACGTATGAGTGCTGCCAGCATTGCTGCAAAGGTTGAAGGGGTGGGGGGTCAGCCTGTCAGTGCTCAGACCATACGCCGCACACTGCATCAAATTGGTCTGCATGGCTGTCGTCCCAGAAGGAAGCCTCTTCTAAAGATGATGCACAAGAAAGCCCGCAAACAGTTTGCTGAAGACAAGCAGACTAAGGACATGGATTACTGGAACCATGTCCTGTGGTCTGATGAGACCAAGATAAACTTATTTGGTTCAGATGGTGTCAAGCGTGTGTGGCGGCAACCAGGTGAGGAGTACAAAAGACAAGTGTGTCTTGCCTACAGTCAAGCATGATGGTGGGAGTGTCATCCAGGCTCTGTCGTAGCCGGCCGCGACCGGGAGACGCATGGGGCAGCGCATAATTGGCCCAGCGTCGTCCAGGGTAGGGGAGGGAATGGCAGGCAGGGATGTAGCTCAGTTGGTAGAGCATGGCGTTTGCAACGCCAGGGTTGTGGGTTCATTTCCCACGGGGGGCCAGTATGAAAAATAAAAATAATGTATGCACTCACTAACTGTAATTCGCTCTGGATAAGAGCGTCTGCTAAATGACTAAAAATGTAAATGTAAAAATGTAAATGGTCTGGGGCTGCATGAGTGCTACCGGCACTGGGGAGCTACAGTTCATTGAGGGAACCTTGAATGCCAACATGTACTGTGACATACTGAAGCAGAGCATGATCCCCTCCCGTCGGAGACTGGGCCGCAGGGCTGTATTCCAACATGATAACGACCCCAAACACACCTCCAAGACGACCACTGCCTTGCTAAAGAAGCTGAGGGTAAAGGTGATGGACTGGCCAAGCATGTCTCCAGACCTAAACCCTATTGAGCATCTGTGGGCATCCACAAACGGAAGGTGGAGGAGTGCAAGGTCTCTAACATCCACCAGCTCCGTGACGTCGTCATGGAGGAGTGGAAGAGGACTCCAGTGGCAACCTGTGAATCTCTGGTGAACTCCATGCCCAAGAGGGTTAAGGCAGTGCTGGAAAATGATGGTGGCAACACAAAATATTGACACTTTGGGCCCAATTTGGACATTTTCACTTAGGGGTGTACTCACTTTTGTTGCCAGCGGTTTAGACATTAATGGCTGTGTGTTGTGTTATTTTGAGGGGACAGCAAATTTACACTGTTATACAAGCTGTACACTCACTACTTTACATTGTAGCAAAGTGTCATTTCTTCAGTGTTGTCACATGAAAGATATACTCAAATATTTACAAAAATGTGAGGGGTGTACTCACTTTTGTGAAATACTGTATATATATATATATATACACATATACACACATACACACGCATACATACACACATACATACATACATACACATATCACGCCCTGGCTCTGGGACTCTGTTATGTTGAGCCAGGGTGTGTAGTTTCTATGTGTTTGTGTTCTAGGTTCTTTATCTAGCTCATGTGTTTCTGTGTTGGCCGGGGTGGTTCTCAATCAGAGGCAACGAGTGTCAGCTGTTGCTTGTTGTCTCTGATTGGGTACCATACTTAGGCAGCCTGTTTTCCTCAGTGTTTTGTGGGATCTTGTTCCGTGTTGGTTTTGTGTTGTAAACCAAGGACTTCACGTATCGTTTGTTGTTTTGTTCGTGTGGGTGAATATAAATAAAAGTATGTTCGCATATCACGCTGCGCCTTGGTCCACTGTGTTTGACGAACGTGACAGAAGATCCCACCAATACTGGACCAAGCAGCGTGTCCAGGAGTACACGCCGGAGGTAACTTTAGCGGATGTCCACCTCGACTGGGTCAAGCAGCGTGAGGAGGAGATAGGTTGGACTTGGGAGCAGAGGATGGAGAGTCTGGCGAGAGCCATGGAGGCCATATCCACGGGGGAGAGACAAGCCCAATACATTTTTAGGGGGGGGGCTCACACCGTGGACGACGGGGCTGCTGGAGGCAGATAAGGGGCGAGTTAGTGGACAAGGAGAGAAGGCCACCGGGTTACGGGCGCCATTGGCGAGTAGAGGGAAGGAAAATGTAGAGGCACGGCGAGAGGTATTGAGGTGTGTTGCCAGTCCGGTCCGGCCCGTTCCTGATCCCCGGGTAAGGCCAGTGGTGTGTGTTCCCAGTGCGGTCCGGCCTGTTCCTGTCCCTCGCACCAAGCCTGTGATGCGCGTCGCCAGCCCGGTCCGGCCTGTTCCTGCCTCTCGCACCAAGCCTACGGTGCGCGTCGCCAGCCCGGCCCGGCCTGTTCCTGCTCCCCGCACCAAGCCAATGGTGTGCGTCGCCAGCCCGGCCCGGCCTGTTCCTACTCCCCGCACCAAGCCAATGGTGCGCGTCGCCACCCCGGCCTGTTCCTGCTCCCCGCACCAAGCCAATGGTGCGCGTCGCCAGCCCGGCCCGGCCTGTTCCTGCTCCCCGCACCAAGCCAATGGTGCGCGTCGCCAGCCCGGCCCGGCCTGTTCCTGGTCCCCGCACCAAGCCAATGGTGCGCGTCGCCAGCCCGGCCCGGCCTGTTCCTGCTCCCCGCACCAAGCCTGTGGTGCGCTTCGTCAGCCCGGTTCGGCCCGTCCCTGCTCCCCGCACCAAGCCTGTGGTGCGCGTTGTCAGCCCGGTCCGGCTCGTTCCTGCTCCCCGCACCAAGCCTGTGGTGCGCGTCGTCAGTCCGGCACAGCCCGTGCCTGGGTCACCGGTGCCTGGTCAGGTACCGGTCAGCTGCTCCACATCGGAGCCTAAGCAATCCGCTCCACCGATGTCCAGTCCAGCTCCAGCCAGCGGGGCCAGACCGGACCAGGGGCGCTACGGGGGGATTGTTGGAGGGTGGTGGTCAAGCCCGGAGCCGGAACCGCCTCCGAGGAGGAGTGCCCACCCGGCCCTCCCCTGTTCGGTTTATGTTTGGCGCGGTCGCAGTCCGCGCCTTTGGGGGGGGTACTGTCACGCCCTGGCTCTGGGACTCTGTTATGTTGAGCCAGGGTGTGTAGTTTATATGTGTTTGTGTTCTAGGTTCTTTATCTAGCTCATGTGTTTCTGTGTTGGCCGGGGTGGTTCTCAATCAGAGGCAACGAGTGTCAGCTGTTGCTTGTTGTCTCTGATTGGGAACCATACTTAGGCAGCCTGTTTTCCACAGTGTTTTGTGGGATCTTGTTCCGTGTTGGTTTTATGTTGTAAACCAAGGACTTCACGTATCGTTTGTTGTTTTGTTCGTGTGGGTGAATATAAATAAAAGTATGTTCGCATATCACGCTGCGCCTTGGTCCACTGTGTTTGACGAACGTGACACATACATATCCTTTAAAAAATATATATTCCCCTTTATTACTTTCCAACCCTGCCACCCTTTCCCTACTTGGAGTAAACTAGTGAACAACAATGCTTAGGCCTCTACTTCCAGCTTATACATACTATATATATATATTTTATGGACACAGTCAATTTTACAATAATTCTATTTTGTTTGTTTTTACTCTTGAACTCCGATCATTTTCATGATGTCCATCTGTTTTGCTTCTATATGCCATATCTTTCTAACTGTGCTCTTTCACAAAAGCTCCCAACCTACAACCTATATAAGAGGGGTTAATGCGATAATCTGGAGTGAGTAATAACCTATAAGTAACCTCTTTAATTCTCCTCAGGACTTTGAACAGCCCCACAAACCGTTGGCTCAGCTTCCGGCAGGGCAGGCGGAGGGACAGATTCCGGGTCGAGAGACAGACCCGATCACCCGGTACGAAGACCAGGGCCTCACTGTGGTGGCGGTCAGCGTTGGCCTTCTGGCGACGCACGGCACGTTGGAGGTGGACGTGGGCA